TCGCGATGAAAATCAACTACAACAGACAATATCAAAGATATAGCATATTCAATCAATCATCAATCAAATAAATCCAAATCTAACTAAAATTAACTTTCCAAAACATCAGCCGTACCGATCACTATACAAACCCTAACTAAACAAAAATTGGTCAAATCAAGGTCAGATCCATCAAAGATCAGCTCAAATTCAAGGATAATAAGTAGATATCTGAAGAAAGGGGATCCAAGCGAAGCAAATCTGACCGTCTCCGTCCTTATCGAACAGGCTGAAGGCCTCCTTGAACTCGGAGATCTGATCGTCGGTGAGCTGATCCGCCATTTCCACAGATCGAAGAGCAGAAAGATCGAAGGGATTTGTGAATTAATCGAGAATTGTTAATTATGATTAAAGAGAGCAATAACGAGATGAGAAAAAGGAGGGTTTTTTTATTTATACGGCGGCGATGATTGCGCTGGGCCCCACAGACATACAACGAACCTTGCTCTTATTCCGGTCGAACCTTGAGCTGGCCGTTGTTACGAAAACACCCCTATTATTTGGAGAAAATTACGGAGATAGTACGGATTCGGGGTTCGGATCTGGATCAGATACGAAACCCGAATTTTGTGTTCGGTCGGGTTGTATAATCAGCCTGACCTCACCTAAGTTGGCTCTCAACACCAGCCCACGAACTCTCGTACATTTTTGATACTATAAGGCTGTGTTTGGCCATCATTCAAAAACTAAGAACGGATCCTAACTAGGAACTATTTTCGGCCAAAAGAAAACTAGACCAATATCAGTCCAGTTTTTACTATACACAGATTTTTCCAACGTGAGACCGAGATCAAAGCTGGCTGTTTTGATTGTTAAGCACATATGACCTTAATTGTGAAGCATAATCATGAGCTATGTTATTCGAATTTTGAATGATATAAGTATTAAGATGTAGTCCGTATAATAGCTTCTATTTGAGTATTTATTTCATATTATATAGTACAGATGAAAACAAGTATACGAAGGTTACGAGGCAAAACGACGCGAAAATTAGAGCTTACGTTGATTTCAGCATTGGAACCATCTATGGTCTATAGTGAATCATCGATGGTAAAGGCTCATCGATGATCTATAGTGAATAATCTTAGAATTTTTGAAAAATGATTTCAAATCATCGATGGTCTACAGTGAACCATCGATTGCCACCACACACCATCGAATAATCATTTATGGTGTATAGTGAATAATGGTAGATTTTTAGAACCTCAAAAATCAAACCATCGATGATCCACATGCACCCATCGATAGTGCTCAGGGAACCATCAATGATCATGAGGAATCACTGATGGTGACGACGATTTTTTGTAGATTTGAAGAGTTAATCACAATCGTTCGTTGATCCCTTTTATCTCAAACTTCCACTATAATTTGGATATCTCTTTCCTGATTTATGAGAGGTTATTTAAGATTGAAAGAGATGATTTTTGGAGAGAGTTCTAGGTCTTTAAAAAATAGAGCTTTAAGAAGAAAATTCTAGGGTTTGTTAGAAGAAAATTGATTTACGATTTGAACCCTTGGACCTCAACAAATTCTTTCTTGCTACGCTCAACAATATCGAATCATCTTAGCGAGAAGAGTTACCCTTGAAATCACTATCTACATCATTCTTCATCAAGCTTCGCTTCAATCTTTTGAAGAATGTGTTGTTAATCAAAAGGGCTGCAATATCTTTCTGATTTTATGCTTAAACTATTTTGGCAGTATTTTTTTCTAAATTCTTGTTGAGATTTTTAGATTTCGCAAAAACCCCAAAAATCCTAAAAACCCTAAAAACCACCAATCGTAGCAAATAAAATCACACATAAAAATTAACGTAGAAAAGCCTCAACAGGAAAAAACCACGGGATTGAAATATCAACTATCACCTTCAACTTATAATCTTTTACACAGATAAAGACTGTAAAACCCTCTCTCTCACACAATACATTGAACTCGGTTACACCATCTGTTAAACAATAATTACAAGGATATTGTATATCTCTCTGTTAAAAAAACCTAGAATATGATGCTATATTTAAAGAAACCCCTAACTTGCCTACCAAGTCAACTTGTCCTATATAAAAACTGTTAACTTGACCTTTAAGAAAGCTACTAGGACTGGATTTAGCCTTCAAATCTAGATTTAACTTGGAGTTTTAATCGACACCTAATATATCCTTCCTCGATGAAAAATCTCCACGTATCTTAACGACTTTAGAAAAACTCACTCTCTTCTTCTTCTTCTTCACCTCTCCTTGAAGATAAGAGTCTAAGAAGAGTTACATGTACCATTAGCAGAATGTCCTTCTAAATAGAAAATATGATTGCTATTCTTCCTCCCTCGTAAAATCAAATCACCATCTCTATACACTTTGTACCACTCTCCTTCACCCACATAGTTGTACCCACGCGATGCTATCTCATCCAATAAAATTAAATTAACACCACATGATAGCATATATCTCACACGGTGAAGAATTCTGACATTTCTAGTGTGAAGCTATAGGCAAACACTCCCAATACCTTCAACCTTCATCTTCTCATTGTTTTCAACGATCATGTTATCAAATTCTTCATCCATTTTTAATGTATTAAAACACTCTTTGTTGCTATATACATGCATAGAGGTTGCTGAATCTAACACCCAAGTGTTACTCGCATCAGTACCGGCATTCCCCATCACCAGCACCACATCTTCATCACACACAACTGCCAAAGAGTCCTCATTCTTCCCATTTTCTTGAAGCTTTATCTGTCTAATACTTTTCAAATCATCTTACATCTTGGAACATCCGAACTGAATGTGACCCTTCTCTCTATAATAGTAGCACTCTCTTTCGCTGTCATCTTGGGCCCGAGATTTTAACATTCCTTGATAACTATCACATCTCATCTTACTCCTCCTTTGATTAGAACCTTCAAAAGCTAATCTCATTCTCACGTAGGAGTGCTATTGTAGGCTGTCTAAAAATTACTATAGATAGCTGATCCTCATCAAATACCGATGATGAAAGTTACAATTTGACAGCTTCTCGAATACTATAATTTAAAAACTTTCACGTAGGTCGATGAAGGTTACAATCTGACGACCTTCACAATAATCGATAAAAGCTCTAATTACTCTCATATTTTCAAGGACCCAAGACGAATGTTACAAGATGGCGATTTTTTCAACACTCTAGCAAAAGAGACTACAAATTAAGGGTCTCTTCAAATCAAAATGTAGATATCTCTCAAACCGTAAGGAATTTGACAAAAAGGACAGGAGCAAACCAAACCCTTTAGGTGGGTTTGATCAGCTCCGTCTCGTCGAGATAGTCAATTTTATATATAATTCGTCCAATTCTGACTTACGGTTTGAAAGTTATGACATGTTCTTCGCAGCAAGTTATGTTCTGAAGCCCGTCTGCAAGACTGAACTTCGCCTGAGCATTGGACTTCACCGAAAGCTCGCCAAGCTCGCCTGAGGCTCACCTCTGCGTTCCATAGTCAAAACACAGAGTTTATCTCTGCTTCCCAATAACAAAACATAGGGTTCATCGCTGCGCTCCAGATCCAAACGCAGCTTTCATTGTTGCGTTTTCAGCATAAAACACAAGGTTCATCGTTACGTTCCAGATCGAAACACAACTTTAATTGGCGCATTTTCAGCCCAAAACACAAGGTTCATCACTGTGTTCCAGATCCAAACGCAGCTTTCATTGCTGCATTTTCAGTCCAAAACGTAGGATTCATCGCTGCATTTCAGATCCAAACGCAGCTTTTATTGCTGTGTTTTTAGCCCAAAACACAGAACCCAACTCTGCATCCCAGGATCAAAATGTAGAGTTCATTCCAGAACACGAATTACGTGTTTAACTATTTCAAACAGAACCTGAACGGTTTCAAAACTGTTTTTTCACTTAATGGGGGCAGTTACATCCCATAAACCCTCATTAAGGAAAGATTTAAGGGGGCGGTTATACCCCATAAACCCTCATTACGGAGCAAATTAAGGGGGCAGTTACACCTCTGAATCTCCTATAAATAGCTAAAATTTTAGCTTAATTAAAGACTGATTCTTTGGAGGGAACTTTTCTGGAGAATTAAGATCGACAATTATCTCTTGGAGCATCTTTGGATCTTGGAGGTCCTGAAGCATCATCAAGAGCCATTCTCGGAGCTTTTTATTGGCTTGTGGATTATTTTTGGTCTAATTAAAAAGGATTAATTTCCTTTTCTCGGATCAACTCTTTCATAGAGTTTTAAACTCGCTCTGAGTTATTAAACTTGTTAAGAGTCCTGTTCAAACTTGCCACACAAGTTCTCCTTAACATCAAGTCAAGACGAAAATATCATGTTCCAACGAGGTGAAGCGTTCAGATCATCAATGAAAAGCAAACTCGACGTAAGCATTCGAGAGAGGCATTCCATCGACACCAAGAAGAACCCAGATTAAACAAAGAGAATGATCTCCGTCGATCCCTTCTCTCTTTTGTAAATCAGGAATCTGATACAAGAAGGTTGTAATTTTTTTCTAAGTTTATTAGAGAGAGATTGTATTGAGAGAATTGTAATTAATTTTTTTTCTAAATCTGTTAGAGAGAATAATACAAATTCTATTATTAATTTTCTTCTTTCAATTTTCCCAACAAACATCTATCACATGATCGAAATTCAAAGTCTGCCTCCTCACAATTATCGTTTGAACCAACGGTTTGTATGATTTTGGTAGGAAGACAGTAGGAGTAGCGCTTGTTCTTTTCTTTAATCTCCTCATAAATATTCATGAATTGATGCCCCAGCTGATTAATGTAGGCATCGAAAATTGCCTATAGGTCTCCACGAACAGCTCAGTGTTAAAAAATGATGATGAACGTCACCATCTGGTTCACAGAAGCTTGATTGATGTCGGTGAATGCTTAAAGTAAACCGACGAACTACGTGAAACAACGGAGCTTCGGAATGATGAAGATACGAATTGATCGGGAACCTCGTATCGTTCACAAACGGCGAAATACCCTTCGTGTCTTATTTGTTCAAATTATTGGAGCTTATAGAACTCTTCGTCAGCTTTCTAACGCACTTGGAATCACTCAAATCCGAGTTCGGACGAAGAATTTACGGCGGAAACAATCAAACAGGCATAACACGGCGTCTCAGCTTGAATGAGACACCCTAGGGTGTCTCGGCCCAGTTTGAGACACCCTGGGGTGTCTCCAATGCAGAAATGGCCTTTTAGGTTGTTTTAACCGCCCGAAACCCCCTGGAGTCTATAAATACAGCCCCGGGTCCTCATTTTTTTGAGATCTGGAATTCTCGTGCCTCGGCGAAGCCCTGCCGGATTGAAGACTTAAAGTGCACAGATTTCAGAGAGGAGGAGGAGTTAGATCTGCAGCCCGATTCGTTCCTTAGGGTTATACCGTTGCGGTAATCTTAAGAAGAGTGA